GAGAGAGAGAGAGAGCAGAAGCAATGGTCCTGCGACACAACACTAATGTATACGATTTTTCAACACGAAAATATTATATATTGTAGCTATATATATAGAAGTATATATAAAAGAGGATAGTATATAGGCAACCATAACGGCTAAGTGAATCATTGTAATGACGATGATAATTAACACGGCGAAAATTATTATTATTAGTTATTATTGATTAGTTTATTTTTAATTATTATTATTGCCATTATTATTATCATTGATATTATTATTATTACTATTATTATTGGCGGTTCTCGCATTGTGATAATCGCAACTGTAATTGTATCATTATGATGATAATAAGTATCTATGGGTTATTAAAGTTTATTACGTCGGCTCGAGAAAGAGAGAAAGAGATGTACTTTTCTTTCCTTTTTTTTTTTTTAAGGTATGTTCACACCTCCGTCGTAGTCACGATCATTTTTTTCTTATCTTTTTTTCTCCGCTTGCCGTTTATTGATTTAGTTGTCGCGAATGAATTGCAAATGGATCATTTATTGCCTAGCACGTAGGTAAAGAGAGAAAAAAAAAAGGATATCCCATTCATTGTATAAACAAAGCCGAGGCGAAGGTGGAGAGTTACGAGTATCCTCCGAGCGATTAGGTGGTTAAACTCTGTTGTTAAATAATATGTCGCGAGCGAATCACTCGGCTAAAGATCGGTTGCCGAAATGTAATTTCTCGTCCTCTTACTGATTTTCACCCTCGTTCCGATTTAATTTTAATCACGTCCGAATATTAAATTCCCGACCGTGAAGTATAGAAGATTTTGTTAAGACGCTCGATTCTCAGGTCGATACCGTGACTCGCGTACGATCTTTGCACTAAGACGGAACCAAGAAGATCCAAGGAAGACGAAACAAGCGAATATTTACGACAAACACGACCGATCTGTTTTTCTCCTCTTTGACGAGAGATGAAACGTACTCTTCGATATAAATCTCGGCCTCGCTCAGTCTGGATTCAACGCTCTTGATCGCTCATCCACGAGATACGCCTACGCTCGCTGCTTGTTTTTTTTACACACGCGAGCACATCTAAAAAAACATGGACTCGATCTCCATTTCGCGTAACGATCGCAAACTTGCGAAGTCGGGGATTCGTTCGCGTTTTCGTGCGACGGACGATCGTGTTGCTGTTCAAGCCGCGACAAATGGATCCTCGGGACGATCGTTTCAAGATCGCCTCGGTCTCGAGACGGCCACCGCTATCTTTAGCCGAATCCTTCGCCGATCGTGCGACCAGTACAAGTGCGTTCCGGCACAGCTAGTATACGAGAAAAAAAAAAAAATGACGCGCCCGGGGTTCGCTGTGAGCGCGCCTTCGGGCGTCCCTTTATAGGCTCTACTCTAACATTTAATAAATGAAACGAGAAACAAAAATGAAGAAAAGGAAAAAAAAAAGGAAATACAGATCGATAATATCCGGCGCGATGTGCGAGAGGGACACACACAGAGAGAAAGAGAGACGGAGCGCGTGTGTGCGTGTGCGTGTGCGTGCGCGGAAGAAAGATTGACGAGGAAGAAATAACGTTTAGCGTATACTTCACGAATACGCGTGGTATAAGATTATTATTATATATTTATATCCTTCGCGCGCTCTTCTCCTCTACCCTCCTCCCCCTTCTTCTCCTCTATTTCCCCGGTGCCCCGGTCTCTCCGTTTCTCATCCCCCATCGTCATCCTCCTCTCCAACTTCCGTTTTACACGCGACAACGGAGAGAATGAGAGAGAAAGAAAAGAGGCGGAAGATGTAGAAATAATAAGAGATGACCGGTACACGCTCGACGTGCACGCTGATAAGAACGCTGATTGTTAAACTGCATTTAACTATATTTTTTTCCCTTTTTCTTTCTTTTTTTTTTCGCCTCTCGAAGTGTCATCGGTGTCACGGCGTTAACTGTCGTCGTTCAAAGAGCCTCTCCCTCCTCCCCCTCCCTCCCGTCCCCCTCCGTCTGCCTGATTTGACCAATTTACCCGATGATCCCGGTCGCGCCTACAGAGACGATGATATTTTTGGATTGATTTCTTCGTGATTTCAATAACGAGCACGCAACAACAACATGCGCCTTCCCACTTTGCATATTACACGCCGGAAACATCCGCCGATTTCGTATACGTATTTTGTGTATGATCTCAAAGTAAAAGAAAAAAAAAAAAGAGAAAAACGTCCGTGCGCGGGAGACGATCGTCGACGTTGTGGCCCGAAAGACGACAGTATACCACAGAAATCATTGTATCGATTCGAAGCATTATGATAAACTTAATAAAAGAATCGAAAATATAACGCATTTCCGATTGTTCACATCCTCTCCCCCAATCCTCACCTGCGCTCCATTAATCGCTAAGAAATCATTGCGAGGTCTCAGAATTTGCATTATTCTTTATTATAATATCAATAATAATATGACAGTGAATCCTAATATTAATAATATACAGCGTAGATTATCGTTATTATTATTATTATTATTACCATTGTAATCCGTATTTCTTTTTCCCATAAACGTACATCAATTCGGAAATTGGAAAGTGCGTGAAACGTGTATAGTAATATGTTACATCAAAGACAAATTGCGTCATTTCATAAACCAGCCTATACAATACATTACAGCTCGATTAATACTTCTGTTCAACTTTAACGCTAATCTTTAAATTCCTCTTTCTCCTCACCCGTCGTGCCGTCGTGATATATATATGTATATATCTACCCAGCTTTCTCTCGGGTGGACCAACTGCGTTTTATATTTTACGCTAATGATATCTCGCGAAACAGTATTCTCGCACGACGAACGAACGGTGGCGAATAAAAAACTGACGTTAGCTTTTGCAATTGCACATTTTGCCGTCCGAATTCTCAGTCTAATCATCGCGTGCAAGAACTAGAAATGTGTCATATGTAACATATTTTGTTGCAACAACTACGCAGATCTTAAAAAAAAATTCATTATTGTAGCTAGCGACGATGTCAATCGCAATAAACTGCCATTCACCACAAATAGAAAGTTCTAGTCACTTTTACATCTTGACGAGAGTATAGCGCGCGTTCGCGGGATTCATTTCTCTGTCTCCGTCTTAAAAAAACAAACGAATTCTCTATAAATAATTGCGAGTTTACGAAAGCTACATTTAGAGTATGTACAAATCTTAAAGTTCACGTATACACATTATAACTTACATGCGGCGTTTCTCCGCAATAATATCCACATGTTGTATATAACATATATTATATATAATATATAAAATAACATATACTATATATAATATATAAAATTACGTATCGATGTTTAGATTATAAAACTATTTAGCTGTATTTTTATATACTTTAGTGTAGCAATAAAAAAATTGCTTTTCTTTCTTACAAATTTACTCCGTAAATATTTTTGTTACTAAAAATTTTTATGAGTTACCAATTTTAATAGAGAAAAAATTTTCTGCATTGTTATTAAAATATATAAAAATACAATTGTTTTATAGTCTAAACATCAATATATTTTATATATATGTCACAGATATAAAATGTATTATGAGTGTCACACAATTTACAAAAATCTATCCCTAGAACCAAATCCCTCTAGTTGTGATCAATGGCATAGATATTTATGCGCTAAAAATCTGCTGCTATTCCGAAGATCTCTGGCGAGAAGTTTTTAATCTTTTTTGACAATTTTACTAGAAATTTACTAGCGAGAAAAATCGGGAGACGAGCCGCAGATAATACATGTAAAAAAGATTCTAAAATTACTATAAACAATTAATGGTATCCATATAGAATGAAGCACAAAGATTGAGCCAAGTGAATAGTTACTTTTTACTTTTGCGAAGTATTCTTTCTTAGCCGAAAAATAAACATCTTCCAAGATACTTATTTTTCGATAAAGATATCCCGGCGAAAAGTCACTAAAATCATTATGTCTATTCCTTCACGCGTTTCTTTATCAACATCCGCAACTATCAAATTCCTCGCGGAGATAGACATCAACGTACGTATCTTACAAATTTAAAACGCGATTGAATCAGTGGGAACGCATCTCGTTACTCATTTCGCACTTTGATGGCAGTTGCGTATTATTGGTGTATCAATATTATTTCATAATATATGAGCCCGACATCTAACAACAGTATCCCTATCATACATATTTCTCGTTAAACGTGCTATTTCACCCCTCCTCCCCCTCGATAAAATTCTCATATCTCTAACATCTCGTATTTTTCGGCACTCCCTTCTCTCTCGTACATATAAAATCAGACTTAGAATTACAGCATATACCGAGGCCGTGTTGTAACAAATTCTGTGATATAGTTAAGCTATGATCGGCGCTACAATCCTCCCTCTATCATCACGCATTTACAAGACACTCTTCGAAGCGAGGAATTATTTAATCGTAACTTAGATAGGATCCGATTGCAAGTAAAAACATTAACTTTACATCTCACTCGCGCTCAGTTTCAAACTTGATTCTTCGCATGACATCGACTCCGGTTTCGACTTATAAGCTAGACAAACGTAGTAACGGGAATGCACTCGCGCATTTCCACGGTGATGATCAATGATGGGTAACGATTAGCAAATGCACAGGTAATCATCCTGTGGAAACACGTGTTTTTCGGAAATGGAAATCATCGCGTAACTTTTAAATAAATTTGTTACATTGCACACGAAATAACATTCCGCGAAAATCTATCAGGCAAGAGCACATCCCTCTAATCGAAGTGTGCAATAGAAGCGTCTAGTTTACAAATCATTGAACGTGCTCGGATTCAATTATCTATGCCACCATTGCATCACTTTAAAATTCTCCTATATCGTGGAAATTCTTCTATATCTTGTTTAGAATACATTTTTAACATAATATTCAATTTGATACGATAAATATAACAAAGAAACGAAAGTGAAACAAAATTCCAAATGTAAAAATTTATCTAGACAACGCAAGTATGTGAAAAATATCGTGAAAGCGTCTAAAAGATATTGCAAACTTTCTGGATTTTTGTGTCATTTGAGTAATACACATCTTTTCGAAACTGTGTGCACTATACGCAATCGTTCTAAAGAAAAAAATGTACTATTGTTGTCACGTTCTCTACAAGAAAGATATTCACATTAAATACAACTGCAAGGTAATAAGAAACTTCCTAATTTAAATAACAAATTATCTGCATAAGCGGCCGCAAAAATTATCGTGGATGATATCTGTTAGGTGGCATGTTCTTCACCGAACGATCCTTCATGTCACTCGGATTGAACATCATTGGTCCCTAGAAATTATCCTCGATTTAAAATACATAAAATTAGTAAGAACTTAATGTTGTGTAATGTTGTGTAAATAACAGGAAGCAAGTCCTCCGAATTTTGAATTTGTACATTTTTTTATCTCAAGATTATTCGTATTAACTATAATTTATATGTAAGCAGTAAGGGAATATATATATATATATATATATATATATATATATATTTTAATCTTTCTGTTATCCCCCGTTAAAAGTATGCAACGCGCGTTTGTAATTTATTTATTTTAACAGCGCATAAGAAGATACAACATAAATTGAAACGATATTATATACATACATATTAATAGATTACAAAAATACAAGAAACCGATTGATGTATAAATTTATTTACAAAACTCGAATCCGAGCCTGAACCCAACCTTCACCCAAGCTTTCCCACGATTCTATGATTACGATTAATGATCTCGTGAAAGGAGCGATTGACAGTGACTGACAAGCGTAAGCTAATTTTAGTAACAGAAATAGCATTAAGTTATGATAATAGTATTGCCTGGCACGCAAACTTGTTAGAGAGAAAAAGATCGTACTAGCGCTCATCTCGTGTGTCGTAATATCCCGCAGTAATAATTTGGAAAATGTCACCTTTGGAAATATGGAGGAAGTTAATGCCATTGGATTACCTTGTTCCGTAGAAGGAGCCGCGGATCCCTCATTGTGTAGCTCTGCACCTCTCGTGATAACGAGCTGGTTGAGCTCCAGCGAGAGAGCTAAATGCCATACACACAACACAATGTTGTCTCACTAACGGGTATTCGCCACGTCGTTTGTGATTAGCTAGTATCTTATTTTATAATAGTTTCTAGTGTAATACCGATTTACGTGCGATTACACGTTGCACTTGCTGTTCGCAGTCATGGCAGGAGAAAAAAAAATGGCATATCAGCAAAACACGTTTTAATAAAGCGTAAAGGCTCTGCCTCACGTCACACAACGTGAAAATCGGTATTACGCGGTTTATGTTCTCGTGTACTATATAGCGCAACATGTTTCAACGAAGTAAAAAGAACACTCATGCTTCAATCACGGTGCAAATATACAGATGATTAATGGGATATTTTACAGAGGATGTCTGCATTACGCAATATAGAGAGAAGATGTTGCTATTTTATTACATTATTTTAATATATTAAAATAAAGTTGGTAATATAAAAAGGAAAACATGCAAAATGATATTAAATCATCTAAAGTGTTACATACATTACTTACATAAGATGTTAAAAATGTTAATCGTGCTTCTAGCTTTAATTATAAGATGTCTTTATACAAGAAAGCTGGCATACATTTTTGCAAAGCGGTGGGTAAAGGAGAAAGCGTGTGTAAAAAATCACCAAATAATGATATGTAAAATTAATGAAGTATATGTTCTTACTAGCAATAATTATTATTTGGCTATATCATTCTGCTTCCCCGACTGCTTGCATAAGAAACATAAAAAGAAAGGTAAGATTAAATACAGATATATGAAAGTGAGAATATTTAAAGCAAAATAAAGAGATCTAATTAGGAATCTAATCACTGTCATTAAATTGTAACATAGGAAGCGGTGTATTTTAATTAATAACATTGATCATTTTAGCGTCTCATCTGTTGAAATAGAAAGATAATTAATGCAATGCTGGAGCGATCTAATGTATAAATTTAAACGTCTCGTGAAAAAACGCTATATAATTGATCTTTGATAAACACATTGTACGTAGAGATTACAAACAAAAACGAGTATAATTAATTTACTACTACGAAATTTTTTAAAAAATAGATAATATGCAAAACTAGAGGAACATAAAGTGTACAGACTTCGTTCATTACAACGATCATGGAAGAAAACGTATAGAAAAATTCGACTGTGTTAACGTTACGGTTCTAAAAACACACCGAAAAAGATTGGCTAAGCTGCATACCAAAAAACTGCAGCCACAACGCAAGAGGTAACAAATATTGTGTATTGTGAAGACTAATGAGATATATATATGTGTGGAACTGTATTGTTAATGTATAGTTCGGCATCGGTAATATATATGGAATTCGAGAATCCTAAATATTTATATTGCCAACTTACTGGGGTATTTTCCGCGGCGGTGTTTCCAGACGGCGGTGTTGCTGCAGGAGTCAGAAAATCCACAGGAGCGGTTGGATCATTAACTATTATCATAAATGCGATGTTAATTTCGATTAAATTATTTTTCAGCATTTCAATCTTCAGCTATATTCTTTAATTTTAAAAAAACATATGAAACTTGCATGAGTGAAATTGAAGAGAGTCAAAGTTTAAATCGATGACTTACTTGGCGCGGGGATGAACAGCTGCGGAGACGAGGTAGCCATAGGTACGAGCGGAGACGTCATGGGGGTAGCTACGTTGGACGACGTCGCATTGGGTTTCCCACCAGGATTCATTATGTCTACGTAATTGGCACGCATACTCCTACCCTTTTGCAGTTTAAACATATTGTTACCAGTAGATAATTTTGAAATGTCCGTCGCCGGTGCATCCTCGTTGTGTGCAGGCGGTAAAGGTGGTTGTGTATTGCGCTCCGCTGTCGACGATCGGAAACTCATATCGGATACTTTCGGCGGTGGAGCCAACGTTCCGGCACCGCTATCTCCGTCTTCATCCTTGTTCGTCCATTTCTTAGCGACGGGATCCCACACAATCTGCAATGCAGAAGACGACGGAATCAATTAGACAAACATTGGCTCACAAGCAACATTTCTCCGTTATCTGCATTTGTACGTTAGAAAAAGATCCAGTTAACGAATTATAAGGGGTATATTAGTAGCAATTCATTAGTTAACTGACGCAACAGTTACGCAACACATCCTGCATTATACTGGCCTGTTTATCGTCCGTCTTACAAGCATTGTCGCAACCGTAAGTAGCATTCTATTACCAAAAGTATCCGCGTAAGCCCTTAACGACATAGAACATAAAATCCGTCCGTCGTAATTTTTTTATGAGCCGAAAGAAGATACGGCGCAATGGCAGATTCTTACCGTCGGGTTGCTGTCGTCCGGCAATATCATTTGATTTTTCGGCTTGGGCGCGAGTTTACTGAACAAACCACCGAACCAAGAGCCACCACTGTTGACGGGTTTCTTCTCGCTCGGCTTCTCGACCGTTTTCTTCGTGTCCGCCGCGGGTTTAGCAGCCGGCCGTGGTGTTTCAAGCGCGTCCAACTCCTCCAATGGATCGTACTGCTTACCCGTCGACGGTGTCATAGAGATTGCTGGCTGCGCAGGCTGAAATAAAATATACGATTGATCATCGCAAGCTTGTTCCAGCAAAGTTCATCACTATTTACTGTAACAATGCGAGTTCGCCTGTCACATGCTGTTTACAACAGTTTTGATCGCACTTGAAATACGTATAAAATATGCGATACTCACAAATGCCATTACAGTAAAAAATGAAAAACTTTGCTTACCATGTTTATCTTAGATCACGAAGCCATTCTACAATGGTACGTTGGATGTTCAAAGTGTGCACAATCAGAACTATGTTAGAAAGCAGAATGTGAAAAAGGCAAATTTCATGTATTAAAAAAAAGGATTTTGAACTTAGAGAATATATAAATATTAAATTAGAAATAGTTTTAAAAGCAACTTTTCTAAGACTTATGGTAAATATTTTTCATACGTTTTAATGAATATTACGGCTCCCTAAGTCTGAAATTCTTTTCTCGACAGCCTACATATATACAATAATCTACATCTTTAACATAAAATTACGCTTATTGTTTTAAAAAGTTCAAAAAATGCATTATGTGACAAAACTTTTATTATATGATGTCAACAGTAACAATATATCTATATACATTCAAACAGCGCTTAAATTAATATTAAAATTTTGTAAAATTACATAACACCATAAGTAATATGACAAAAAACAGGATTCTTTACTCTCTGTTTGATCACAGTATATGGATTCTTCATCGTTAGTATCTGGATATTTTTCATATGTTAATATGTAAAAACTTGAATCTTTTTAGAACAGTATATGAATCAAATAATTCAATATTATAAATCTCTTGATAATCCTTTCATTTTCAATAATTTCATTACACATTTAAACATTGCATACTGCCAAAAAAAATTTCTTCTATCAATATACTTAGACGTGAAACTCCAAATATATGTATTATAGAACTACAACCACATGTTATTTCTGTATTTAACACGGAAAACTTGGCCACGATTATATGTGCTTACAGATCATTTTTAGTCGCATTTTGTAGGCATATCAATGTCGTAAGTCAAAGATGTATTATTCTTAGCGGGAGTATCATCGGTTAGACGATTATTGTTTCTAAATCTAAGCGGTAAATCAATCGGATATGTGCCACCGAAAACCAATGGTTTATATCTGGACGATTCCGAAGTATTTTGTCCATTATTATCGTACGACCACGCGTCTACTGTATCGCAAATAACATCCTTTCTGCGAATATGTGGTGCCACCCTCATAACTTTCTTCTCCTCAAAATTACAATATTGTTTTAAGGTTTGTGCTTCGCTATTAAAAGCAACGTGACTTTCTTTCGGTTCGGAAGATAAATCTGACGCTAAAAGAGACTCGAGTTTCAATTTGCTAAATTGAATATCTAAATCTGTCGTTCGCGACGCCGCGGATAAATTCCCGTCGTCCAGTCGGTCCGGCGTCGCTTCCTCTTTATCCTCGGACGGACTCTTTTTCTTAATCTTACATTTTAAGAAAACCGGTGGTTGCGAGCACGGTGGTTTCAAAAATATAGGATCGACGCGTTTCGGTTTTCTAATATCTTTCGGATGTATTTTGTTATTTGGCAGAATTTTCGGGTAGTTCATGGTCAATTTAGGATATCTCCTACGAGAATTTGAAACCTTGACATCGAGATTACTGTTGGATAGATTAAAGAATGTAGGTACATTGCCAGGAATATTATCGTCAAATGCAGAGGCGATACACGGATTTGATTTTACAGATATATTGCGACGGCGTAAAGAGTTAGTACTGGCAGCAACTGGCGATCCTTCAGGATCGAAAATATTATCCGAAGTAAGTCTGCAGTTACTTACTTCAGGGGTGGGCGTTTTGTCTTCCCTTTCCGCCTGTCGGTGAGCAAGCATCAAGAAACAAGTGAAAAATGTTAATTGATATGCTTTGAGGTGAATAATATATGAAATTACGAACAAAACTGAAATGTATTACTTTTACTAATAAATGGATATTCATAAAAAAGAATATAGCGCAATTTAAACAATTCACAGATGAATTTTATGAATGCGAGGTTATATATTACGGGAAAATGTCTGATGTGATCAAATTCTTGTATTAAGAGATTTTGTAATAAATCTGTACTTATTTTTTAATATATTTTACCTTATAGTTCCATTTCTCTTGCTGTTGCGAATTATCGATTTCAGTCTGATCTGCAGTTAAGCCTGACGCGCTCTGTTGCTGCCAATTAGATGGCGCGGTTTCATTTCTTCCATAATTATTTTGATAATACGACTGCTGACCCCAATAATCCTGTTGCTGCGTCTGCTGATATTGAACGGATTCATCCACATTTCTCATATATTGCACGTTCGGATCATATGTATCTTGAATGTTTGTGGGCAAGGATAACGGCTGCCAATCTGATTGTATTTCATTCGTATTAATTTCCATCATTGACGTAGGTCCATCACCATAATCGGGTTGAGCGGTAGTCCATTGTTGTTGCGATGGTGGTAATAATTGTTGCTGTTGCTGATGTTTCATTTCATGAATTTCTTGATTTTCTATCATGGGACGAGAATTATACGTTTCTTCCTCGACAATTTCTTCATCCTGCAACAAAATTCTATTTCTAATATCTGCACCAAAATAAAATAGAAATACATTTCGTAAAATCATATTATTATAATAACCTGATATCTTCCAACTATCTCTGCCAATTTATTAAGCCACATTACATTCGCAGCATCTTCAATAGCATCCTTATAGACCGGATCATGGTATTTGATTCTATCACCCAATACATAAACTGCTTCGATGAAAGATTTCTTATATTTCGATGGATCGTTCGCAATATTCGTTGCAATCTGTTCAATATACAGTAGAGCCTTTTCTATTAATCCACAGTCCACCATCTTCACGGTTAGATCAAACTTGAATGTTTGAAGGTCTACTAATGTGAAAGACGGATCGCTAAGATTCCGAGCGTATTCGTAAATCTCCGTTAACATGACAGCTTCCATAGTAAAGAATTCAGAATATGTCTTGTTATGATTTGCGCCGATCAACACGAGTTTAACTCCATTAGTTCCGTAAGCTCCGAAATCAATTTGCGCGAGAATGTAACAGAAATGTGCGGCGTGGATATCACCTCTCGCGAATAATGTGTCTCCAAGAGTCGTTATTGATCGACGATTAACTTCTGGATTGGCCGAAGTATTAGAAATAATCATAGCTAGATGAGGTCGCCAATCGTCCCAGCGTGGATCCGCAACACACTGTAGGAAAAAGAGACGAATAATTGGCATCGCGACAAAGAAGCATGAATAATTTTATTATAAAACAGAAGTGATTTTTACCGTGACTATAGCAGGTACACGACCAGAATGCAGTTGGTACAAAGTCTGCAGCGGATCATGTGGTGGCAGACTGTTTGCAAAACGAGTCATTACAGAAGCGTGCGTGCGTTTATCTAGTTTGCTAGCCAAGAAGAGAGCATGGCCCCAAAGTCCTTCATTCATCGCATATTCTATATAAATAAGTAAACAGGAGAAATTAGTTAGTAATATTTCTAATATTAAACTTAAACTTAAACTTAATTTGTAAGAAAGCAACAGTATTTTTACCTAATGCTTCTTGAACCCGTCCATAGAGTAATGTATCTCTGAATTCGTCTGTTATTTGCTCTACGGTTTTTCGCTGCTTAGTTTCAGTTTTCTCGGATAACACCGAAATATCCTGGGTACTTCCATCGCTGCCTGTTGCACCGGATCGTTGCGATATTTGCGATTCTCTACGTCCTACATCTTGAGACCTGAGTTTATTTGCATCGTAAGGATAAGCATCTTTATTACGTAGCAAGAGCCCGGCAATGTCAACGCCAACGACATTCTAAATAAATCAAACAATATTAATTTAATCTGAACAACAACTTACGGATACTAATTCTCGAATAAAAAGAGACTTACTCCATTTTGTTGAATCAGCATAATCATCAGTTCGTATAACAAAATGTATGAAGCGCGATCGATCATTTCTTCATTTATCATTGCCTTCTTAATTTTATTTTCGCAATATTCTATAATAGTCTTCTTGTGCGTTACGCCACTGCAATGAATCATCGTTATGTACATTATGCTTATATATTCGTATAATTCTTACTTACTTAATTAGAGGTCCCGGATATGATCGTAAATCACGTGCAACGGGATCATGCACGAGTAAATTATCTACACGGACAACGTCTACTTTGGCTCTCTCGCCATCAGCTGGATAGCTTGGATGAACATGTATCAAAGATCCAATGGAAAAACATCCTAGATAAATTTTTTCATTAGTTTAGCAAACGTTAAATATTAATAAAAAAAAGTAATAAAAGAACAAATTATAAGTTATACCATATGCATGAGACGTGGAATATTTAGTCGGTGTTAATCGAGCAGAAGTTATTGGATCCTCCAACAAAGACATATCTCCTAATGTTCGTTTATCTCCAGTAGTTCTGAAATAAATATATTATTTTTTTATAGAGAATTCTTAAAAAGTCATGAGAAAACTGATAATAATAAATGTTGAGAGATACAAATACAATTATATACAAGATAAATGTACTCTACTTAAAGTTTACAAGAAATTAAATAACTAAAACAAGCGTTCAATTCTGTATACTTTTATACATTTCTACTACGTTATGATCGTATTATCATTGTTATATTGTATAATATTTTATTGTGTTAAATTATGATTGTTATAATAATAATGCTTAAAAGAAAGACTATCTAAGAGAGTTATTATCATTCTACACATTTCTATACATTTTTGTATATCTAATCAACTATATGCCATAGATTGAAATTTTAAAATACTGGAAAGAAAACTAAATCTTTGATACTTTTAATTTAATACTTTTTAACCGAGAGAAAACTCTCGGTCTCACCTATTGAAATTGCGACAAGCCGTACTGCGTTCCCGCAGATTTCCGGCCCATCTGGAGTACCCGAAATATGGGACATAGGATGCCTTGTTTGGTGAATGGAAACATGCACTTGGGATTGGAAAAAATCTGACATACAATGAACATTGTAAAATTTGTTGGTGGATAAGGTAAGTAACATTAACTGTTTAATAATTTTTTTAATTCTTTTTAAAATGCTTTAAAAAAAGTTTCATATACCTGTCATCACAGGAACTACGACCGGAATGAACACTAGCTCTATCCTCCGGATAACTGCTAACACCTCTAGCGATGTGCTGTTGCTGTTGTTGGCTGGCATAATATTTATGATACCACTCGGAATAGGCGGCAGGATTCGTCCGACGTAGGTTTTCAAGATATGCGTAATAATTGTTGCCGTAATGAGCACCGTAATCATATCCACCATAACCTGCATTTATAATTAGATACATATTAAATTAATTTTCTTTCTGCAATATTTACTTTTTTTATTATATTTTGTTGCAAGCACATACCATTATATGCATAATAAGGATCCCTTGCACGCATGTAATATTCGCGATCTCTATCGTTGTAGGAGGACCTACTTGAAGGCCTAGAACTGAAAAAAATATATAAATAAATATGATACAATATATTGATTAAAGTAAGAAGTTTCCCAAAATAAGTGAGCAAATTGCTTAACAGATAACAGAATTTCAGATAATAGAAACAAACACAATTAAATATCAAAGTGACGATATGATGATAGAAATAATAAATCAACTTAAATATTTATATTTTATCAAAGCAATTAGTAAAGAATACATTGCTAGTTTGGCCGCTTGTTAAAAATGTCTTACAAAAATCACATCTTTAGATAACTGATATATACCTTCTTCCATAAGGATCATCGTAATAATCTCTTCTATATGGATCTCTGATATCGTAATCGTCATATCTTCGAGGTCGTCTATCATCCCTTCTTCTATCACGATCCATGTATTCTCTATCTCTAGGATCTCTAGAGTATCGTGGATCGTCTCGGTAATCTCTCGGATCTCTGTCTCGACGACGCGGATCATCACCTCTGTCTCTTCTGCGCTCATCCGGTCTCCTTCTGCCGTCCCTTTCGTCCGAATCCTCTTTCCCTCGGACTCTTCTCTCCATATCCTCTCTACCATGTCGATCCAGATCGTCGCGACTGTGATGCTTACGCTCGTCGTCCCGATACGGAACATCCCGTCGCTCGAAGTCATCGCGGGCATTATATTGACGATCATTGTCGCCTACACGTCGACGCTCGTAATAATAATCGTCCTCGTACTCGCGATCGCGGTCGTAATACGGATTCTTCCGGTCGTATTCGTATCGTCGACGGTCGGGACTTGCCTCCCGTCGTCTCTCCCTGCTCTCATCTCGACTGTTGCGAGATCCCTCGTCTTCCTCGTCTTCGTAAGAATCCCGGCGAATCGACGAACCCGAGACACCTTGGTTTCCACTCTCCAGAGATGCGCCGACCGCCTCCTCGCGCTTGCTTCGCGACTCGCCGCTAGTCTGATCCTGCATCGCGGACATTATCGGAGGAGCTTCCGGAGGGGAGCCGGTAACTACTCTACCACCGGTCGTCGTTCTGTCGTCCGGCAACTGCGTAACGTCGTTGGAGGATGCTCCACCTGGTATTTGTCTGAGCTCCGCGTCCGTTTGCTGAGCGACTTCGTCGGGCTCGTTGCCTCTGCCGAGTACCTCGCGGGTCTCGCTCGGCTCCAGCATTATCTGTGATTGTAATGATATCTGATATCTCTCCTCGCCCGATGGATCATTTCTTGATTGCTGTGGCGGAAGAGAGCGTTCTCTTCCCGAAGGATCGTTCCGCCGCTCTAGCGTGTCTGAGTCGCCTCGTAACAATAGAGAGACGTTCCTTTCCTGCCCTGGAAGAACGTCACGACGCTCCACTCTGTCGGGAATGTTCCTGACTTGCATACTCTGCTCCTGACCCGTAGGATCGTTCCTGCGTGGATCTATGGTACTCGATTGCCCCGGCACTTCGCGCAGGAAGGGGATATCATTAGGCACTTCGTCATTCTCGTCATCCTGACTCGGTGGAGTTGGCTCGTGTTCCTGATGCGAGTCTGTTAACTCGCCCGTCTCCAGAAATGTGTTTCTATCATTCGAAGCAAATTCATAGTTGTCCGGCATCTGTTCAGTCAGAGGCGGGTGAGCTCGCGCTTGTTGTTGCTGTTGCTGCATCGACAGTACTTCAACGTTATTCACCTCCTCTCTGAAGTCTCGAATATTCGCCGCTTCTTTAGGACTCGCGCTCGGCTTGGGATCGTTATCCAATGTTTCTTTGTTTATAGAATCTCGCGAACCGTAGATGTCGCGCTCCTTCATCATCGTTGGCGCAACAACCTCAATGTTTATGAAATCGGATGTTTGCTGAATGTTCTCATAGTTTTCCACATTCTGCTCAGGCGTGTTCCACTGCTTGGGAGGTGGACGCGAATGATCTTTCGCATACCACGCATTCTCCAATGTGGTTTGATTGTACCATTGATCATATCCGCTTTGTGAGATACTTTCTGTTATCTTAGTAGCACCACTTTGATATGTATCGGGTATTAGCTCTTGACCGGCAACCGGTTGGCTGTCGACGGAATTCTCTGTACCGCTTGGAGCATAATCCAGAGGCAATATGGGGATATTATCGGGAACGGAGTTGCTTCGTATATTCGCGATATTAAAATTAGCAGTCGGATGTTGAGCTCTCCCCTCCATGGAACTCGAATGCATCTCTAACGGTTCGCCTAAAGGATCCACGTGTTTTCCCGACTTGCTTCCGAGATTAAGTTGACCGAAGTTGCTAGTTAATTCCTCTGCCGCTGTAGGGACGAAAGTGCGATCATCATTCTCGCCGATAGAAATGGTTTTCGTATCATTCTTTAACGTGTCATCAGTCAATACGTTCAAGTTATGGTAATCTCTAATCGGTGATTTGATGTCGCTCAATTTCGCGTGACTAATCGAGTCGTGAGGTGACACAGTACTCGCGATAGAAGCTACTTGCTTCTCATTTTCTTGCTGTTCTTTGCTATTGGGCGTATGTACAATATTTTCTACAGTCGTGGGTACAGTTGTGGATACTGGAGCATAATGAAACGGCGCCGTGCTATGCTGTTGCCATTCATTCGCGGCAAACTTAACACCATTATCCTGTGGCACGTTTTCCGTGGCCGTCGGCTGCAACCATTGTGTGGGATGTGCGGATTCGCTTTGCACGTTAGAATGTCTCCAATCGTGCGAGACACTGATACTGCTTGACTGCGGCCAAGGAGCAAACGTGTCGTCTACGTTATTTACGTTCGTTTGTACTGGATGCGCAGATTGATGATGGGGTTCGCGATTTTGATTCTGCCACTGACTTGATGCGGCGTTAGACTTACTACCCGCTTCGTTACCCTGCTGTTCATTGGCAGACCAATTCATGGAATGTTCCTTGTTGATCCCCTCGACTGGTGCGTTGTACATTTGCGGTGATTGCGCGCATTGGTTGCCTATATTGTCGACCAGTGATTGCATCTCCTGCGGCACATTTTGATCCTGCCACTGTCCTAATATATCGTTGTGATTCTGCCAACTACGTTGCATCGGCAAGCTCGCCGTGTCGTCTTTACCCCAATTATAATTACTGTGCGACGCCATTGATGGCGGATGTATCGATTGATCTTTCTGATTTTGTTGTGACACGAGTTTCTGCTGGACGTAAGCTGCATTCTGCGACTGAGGCTCGCCTGGCCATTGAGCGTTGTTCTGTCGAGATGTCAATGGATACTGTTGATTTTGATTATAATTCGCATAAGGTGGGAAAAATTCCATGTGATTCGGTCCGGTCTGACGAGCAGTCTCCGGCCTAGGAGTATTTCTATCTGACATAGAGTTCTGATTAAGTACATCGGATGTGTCACCATTAAGATTTTTATAATAATGGTTTTGCACAGAATTAGATATCAATTGTCCCTGATTTTGATATGAAGGTACATAATGTTGCTGTTGCTGTGGTGATGATTGCTGTTGCTGCTGCTGGGTATCCGATTGTTGATCCAAATTCCAATCCCAGGGATCTTTCCATGTATCGCTTGCATGTTTTGATTGATTTATATGAGGTTGCTGGGTAGTATCATTCGATGGCACGTCCGACTGAGACCTAGACACTGGCATCCACATATTTTGATTGTGCATTCCATATGCAGCCGAATGATCCACTCGAGGCCTGGTGGGTCTAGCTCGATAGGGATTCTATAATCATGGTTATGTTTCAATATTCAAGTCATTCATTCTGCTATGTAATTTATAATATATGAAGCTTTCTGATATATACTTACATTCATACTGCCTGCAGGACAGTGTGACTTAATTTACAGCAATTCCTGAGATCTGGAAATTTAATGATACAAAATTAAGCACATATGCTATGGTATATTTATAAATAAAATAGCAATCGCTGGAATGCAACAAAAGATTCCTATTCAATATATAAATGTCGCCGATGCTTTTCACACAGGCATCGAGAGCAATTTTTCAAGAATCAGCTAGAAGAAAAAGGATTTGGTGTAAAGTGCAAGCGCAGTCAGATCCTATAGGCATGCTCTCGTAATCTCAGGAAACGCATGTCACTGTGACGTTGACAGCCTCAGTGTATGAATTGTAAATAGGTCATTAAGATAGGTCATTAAGTGTCCTAGTGTAGATCCTCACGCGTTTTCGGCACGAATTATGAAAAAAAGAAAAAGCACGCAAGCACACGAGCACGCGAAAACGGATACCCGTACGACAAAGGCGATAAGATTATTTCGCAATCCGCTTGGTGAGTGAGGCTTTTGACCGCGATAAGGACCTCGGGAATCACCTGAGGAATCGCAGCTCTGACGGCGCGGACGCGCTCGACCGAACTAATTATGTAACGACGGACGTGGCAGGACGTCTTTTTGCTCGGGGCCGTCCGGGAAATCCAAGGGAATCGCGAGATTCGAGCGACCAGCTGTGAGAATCGACGGCGCTTCGGCGCGCAGGATGATCCGAGGCCTACGCGTTCACTCACCTACAGCTATCGTCGCTCGCGCTGCCGTCTCCACGCGTTCGGTATACGCATTATTGTTCTTCACCACTATCGCCGCCGCCACCGCCACCGCCGCAGCCGCCACTTCTACCACCAGAGGCTCACGGGTTCCTTATCAACGGCGGAGCAAACGTCTTCGTTCTCGTCCTCGTCGACGTCGATGGCCGCGCGCGGACACGATCTCACGAGTACGCGGACATCTCGACGTGCGCGAGAGCGAGACAGAGGAGAGAGGGCAGGCACCGCAGGCACGATTCCGACCGAGCGCGGCACGTCACGGCGATCCTTTCCTTTCTCTCCCCGCTGCCCGTGACGACTTTCCACGCGAGCGGAACCGCGACGAACGTCAAAGCGCCGGAAGCCGAGCGTCGCGCCACGCGCCACGCAGAGATCTCGCGCAACCTCACCTCACCTCACCTCACTTCACCTCACCTCATCTCACCTCGACTTATCGCGCGATGCACTCGCCGATTCTCGTGTTCGCCGCGAAACGCACGGCTTCCAATGGTAACGCGGAGCCTCCTCCTTCCTGTCGTTCGCCCGCTCGAAGGATAAGCGATCGTCGCCGAGCGATCGGCGCTGCGTACGGATCGACCTCGGGGCCGGTCGGATCGACTGACGTGGTAGATCGAGAGTGGCGAGTGGACGCGCGGGGCGAATCCGGCGACCGCATCGGTGACCAGTTACGCGCGAATGGCCTGCGGAGCGGACGTTGAAATCGCAAAGCGGTGCAACGACGATTGCGATTAGCCTCCTTACCTCCTCGATCGTTCCAAACGAGATCGGCGAATAACTTTTAGAGCAAAATGGTCCTGTTCACGATAATCGCGAGAGTGTCAGATGGCCTGCCACTAGCAGCAACCATGCAGGATAACGAACAGGTTAGAAATGTGTGAAACGTCACCTTGTCATCAGACGTCCTGTTTTTGCCTCTGTAAATAACTCCTAACGAGAACGCATCGATAAAGGTCTCCTTTTTAAAAATGAATCAGAAAGAAGCTTAACTCGCTAAATCTAAAAAATTGGAGCAAGAATCTATTATACTTTATCAGATATATAATATATAATATGTAGATTAATTGAATTCTGTTTTCTGTCATAGGATGGTAAAAATATCGTGGAGTATCAGAATCAAGCAAAAATGCTATTTAGAAAATTAGGTCCACAATCTCCATCAAGATGTACTCTGGAAACTGGTCCATATCTTTTCCAGTAAGCAATAATCGCTGTTAAGCTAATCAATCTGATCAATGTGTACTTTAATAAAATTGTTCGTTCTATTATATTTTGTTTACAGCTATTTAATTGAAAACGAGGTGTGTTATCTGGTATTATGTGAAAGAAACTATAGTACACGCATAGCTTATAGCTATTTGGAAGATATAGCACAGGAATTCCATGCTCAATATGGCAAACGTGTAAATACAGTGACTAGGCCTTATACTTTTATCGAATTCGGTATGCTATAGAATAATTTGAATAATATGCTAGATAAATATAGTATTGATTTTATTATTGTTTGTTTCTAGATACATATATTCAAAAAGCCAAGAAGATCTTCTCCGATAGTAGATCTCGCAGGAATTTGAACACTCTTAATAGCCAGTTGCAAGATGTACAAAGAATCATGGTACAAAATATTGATGACGTTTTACAAAGGGGTACTGTACTCTCAGGTAACGTGAAAAGCTGTGAAAACCTAAAGGACCAGAAACTTGAATGAAGATATTAATGTGTACTAATATTATTAATTATATCTTGCAGAATTGGATACAAAGACACAGAATTTATCTATGCTGTCGCAAAAATATAAAAAAGATGCAAGACATCTAAATAGTAAATCGATGTATGTGAAAGTTGTTGCTGGTCTTGTTGCATTTTTGGTCTTCCTGTTATATTTCTTCATTCTTTAGTTACACAATACAACACAAAAAAATTTCGATATGCAGTTTCGAATGCATAAAAGGTACTCCATCTCCAAGACTAGATACTTTCATTTATTTCCTGCATAATTGCAGAATATTTCTGATTCCAACATCTACTTATAAAAAAAGGAAAGTTTAAGATTGACATATAAAAAAAATGCAAAAAGTGTAATTATATTGATGTATACCAAACTGAGTTTAAATTTATGAAAATACAGTATATAAATTATTCAGTAAAATATATTCAACGATTTTTAGCGCTGTGCAATAATCAATAAATCTTTTTGTTATTTAATATATAAAAATGATGTACAATTAACTTTTTATATTATTTTCATCGTTTTAGAAGTCTTAAAGAAACGAAAACGATGCGACTTTATAAAGAGACAAAACCATTTGATCATTTTTAAAATATTTTAGTAAATATTTATATACTTTCCCATTCCCCTAGTTTGCTTAGTTTGTGTAAATTACATTGTTTCCAAATCATCGATTTCGGTAGAAATTTCACAAACGAAATAAAGACATTATAGATTTCTATCGCTGATGAAATTATATCGATATCATTCCTACATTTCTGTTTGTTAAATCGTGCAGCTTGTGTGATTCTCTTTGAAATCTCAAATATAACCGTAAGAAAATATATTTATTATTTTTAATCGTGAATGTATTTTGGGTGGTGTGCAGATATATTACCAATGGAAAAGGAACCAATTAAAAAAATGTATTATAGATGGCCATACATGTCATTAATGTTATTACATTTGTATGTATTTCAACAACTGTATTAAAATTATAATGGTGATGTATTTACAATAAAAATATCCATGTATAAGTAAATATAAATATTTATAAATAACAAATATAAATTTTTCACATCTTTACTAAATGTTCATAATATGGTATATCAAGTGACTGTCTGCTCTTTTTTGATTTGTTGTCTGTCTTTTCATCATCAGATCCCGAAAAATCATTGAAGAAATAATTTACTGGTTCATCTTCCTTTTTAAATCTGTTATCATTGTATCTTTTTCTCGCTCCATTATTTGTATACTCTGCATCACTTGTTTCTTCATCTAAAATAAAAATTATATGCAGAAATAATATATATATATATATATATATATATATATATATATATATATATATATATATATAACATTTATATACTATTGTAATGAATGCTTACCCGTATCTATAATCTCATATATATTTGTGTGATCTTTCATAATGACGTGTAATGTCGGAAATTCCAGTACGGTTTTATTTTCTAAATTTTCTTTTAGTGTAAGCGTAAGATCCAAATCATAATACCTAGAAAATTATTATAATTAGCTGGGTACCTTAATTATGATTAAATAACATAAAAAGCATATTTACCTAGAAATTGCCTTCTTTACTTTCTCGGCTTTTAAAAGAACCTTGATACCACTTAATCCAACTGCTCTATAAAACTGCAGTTTATCAGCTAAAGCCAATCTTACGTTCAACTTTTCAATATCAGTCTCTTCGACAGATGAGATTGGATCCAATACTTGTTCTATTAATGTTGATAATCTTGTATTATCTAGAGCTCTGCATAAATATAAATATAATGAATTACTATTCATTTAAAACTATCTATACTTTACAAAATGACATGACTGTACTTATTCATACCTATTTACTATGCATTTTGTATTTTCAGCTTGTGGAAAAATCCATTCTAGACGCCAAAACAATTCATTGGTCTTCCAATTCAGGTACGTAGTGTTTTCCTTGTGACGAGTGAAGACTTGTGGCATAAACAACAGCGTTATTTTTCTATGGCTTGCGGCACATCTCAATTTATGTAGATGCTGGAAAAAAGGATATAAATTTGATACTTTTAAATGTAAGATATATATATAAAAAAAAAAAAGAAAGACGAAAGCTATCTTACCATTGGTAGAACAACTTGACGTGTATACTTTACTTCTGGATTTCTTTTTTTTGTCTCAATTGATCTGCCAACCTGCTCGAGAAAGCGATAATCTGCAAAATATCGAGTACTAAAGTCTCAAGACAACTGCGATAACTTGGATGATGAAAAAAGTAAAAATAAATGAAGAAAGAAGTCTCTCTCTCTCACCACTCAATAAATCCAGATCAGTAAATGATGTTAGAGGAATAAACTTCGTCTTATCCCGGATTCCATCGCAGTCCAGCTCTTTCTTGTGGACGTTCACGCACGTGAGAGAACAGGTTCTAACCTCGCATTTCGGACACGTGTACCGTGCTTTTGCCGCATCGCATACTTCGCAATCTTCCAATCTAGAATTAAAAATAGAAATAAGTTAATCAAAACAGTTGTCGTCGCAAGAGATCTTAATCGATTTTTATTGTTAAGTAAAAATCAGGCGTTTTTGCTCACTTTCTTGCGGTAGCCGCCATCCTTCCAAGTTATTTATTTGCATCCATCTGAATGCGTATGTTGGATGCGTAGAAATAGATGCGCATGCACAGATGTGGGAAATTCGATTGTATTCGCGCTATGTTTTAATAATATTGAACAACATATTGTTGGAATTGAAATTGAAATATAATCTTCCTGATCATTTTTGTCAAGAAAACATAATTTATGGTTGATACAAAAAGATTGAAACATAATCGATTTAGAGAAAGAAAGAAATGGGACTTTATTATAACAATAACAGAAGATAAATAACAATAATTAAATAATTTTTTAACTAACGAGACAAAATGTGTGCCCAAAACAAGGAAAATAAAAAATTTATTACTGGATATTAATAAAATTGAATTATCACAATACATAGTTTCAGAAATATTAATATTATAGAGTTAATCAGAATATAATTGTTAATCCTGCTATTTATTAAATTGATAATATTTCTTGCAATCCTGCATTAAACTTGTGACACAGATTAATTCATCTAATTGTAAGTTAAAAATTATGGCAAGAATTATGGCGTGAGTTTGTCAAGTCCAAAATAATTTTTATTTATATGTTTTTTTTTGTCTCTTTTTGTTTGTGCGTATATACAACATTCTTTACAACTGTAGGCTCAGATAAATTGGTAACTTTTAATGAGATAGGTCATTTTTAAAATAAATATTAATCACAATTTTTAACTTGAAAGTGATTAAGATACGCATTAGCATGAAAATCAGTTTGAGAAACAATTACAATAACTACTATAATTGTAATTACAATTATAATAGAACTATAAAATAGAATCTATAACTTGATTTATATGCGAAATTAATTATAATTTACTAATTAATGGAATAACAAAAACTATTCACAAGAAACACATCTCATTGTACGAGTGATACTGACTGCTCGTACGTATCTTCACGAAGTTAAAATAAAAGAAAGGAAAGGAAGAGAAAGAAAAAGAAAAAGCGCAATATAACAAGAGTTCAGTGTAATGCATGTATGCTGCTTTCGTGAATAAAGCAATCTCTTCGCCTTTATTCGATGAAGCGTGATTGTGATGATCACGAGACTTCTAAAATTATCTTCGTTGCACATCGCGTTTCTTATATTGTGACCTGGTCGTACAATAAGTACAATAGCAGTGACTTATTGCGAAAGCGCTTTACACTGTTTGCAATTCTCCATTCGCTCGTTGAATTCCTCTATCTGCAACGTCATCTCGAAGAATTTGTATTTGTCGTGGATATTCCGCGTGGCAGTGCGCAAGATGTTCTGAGGACTCGTTCCAGGCTCTACAAATAATAACATTCTGTACTTTTAGTAAAAAAAAATCTATTAAGATTTCAGAGATAAATAATGTGTATTAGATGCAAAAGATGCAAAAATTTATTAAGTTCCAAATAGGGAAACGAAAAAGCTCTGAGGAATCTATTACGTTATCTATTAGAATTTCAGAGTCTAAAAATACAAATTTTTTAACATGTCTTATGATGACGGTATACTTATTTCAAGTCTTATGGTATGTGTAGTTGAATTGCATAAAATGCATAAATAAGAAGTACACACTGGATTATATTTTTGGATGTACGTACTTATAGCGAGATGCGCTGACAAAGCGGTCTTGTCGAGAGAGAGCGCCCAGATTCTAAGATTGTGCACCTTAACGACTCCATCTATTTGCATAAAGGTGTTCTCCACTTGAGAATACTCGAAACCCTTGGGAATTCCTTCCATCAGAACGTTGACTACATCTTTAATAATCGCCACCGTAGTGAGGATAACTAATATAGAGAAGAGGAATGTACATATTGGATCCACTATACTCCAACTTGGCTGAAATATAAATTGATCATTAAAACTATCATAGACATATATATGTCTTGGAATTACATTTTTGATAAGAAAAAAGAGTGTTGCAAATTTGTTACTTAAATTTTACGAAATTTTACGAAATTTCTCGATATAAGAGATGAATATAATTTGATAAAAGAAGTAACACAAAGAAATGCAAAAACGTTAATTTTCCATAATTTTATATCTGCCAGAAATGATAAAAATATATAAAAGTATACATAAATTACTGATGAAAAGTTGAAGATACCTTAAAATAAATAATTAACGCGGCAATGAATACTCCTATGCTCTGAATAAAGTCACCCAAAACATGGATGAAGGCGGCACGCACGTTGATGTTCCTTTTCGCATGCTCCCCTTTGAGATCATCATCAAGCGCATTCTCCACATCATGGCTTTCATCGTGTCCACCATGACTATGTCCGCCGTGGCTGTGTCCGCCGTGACTATGGCCATGCTGATGCAGTGACAGGCCCATTCTGCAATGCCAAATTATATATAGTACCTATATTTCTCTCTAAAACGAGTCTAATTTCGAAAATTTTGTTACATTCGATTTATATTTCTGAATAATTAATTAAACAGTTAATTAAGTAATTCCTTTAAATGGAAGATTCGAACTAATTCTTTTAAACAGAATTTTTAACCAACCATCAATTCTCAAAGATGTCCGATTAAAAATTTTATATTCTAATTATTGCAACTTGTATGAGCATCACTCGTGATTACATTACACAACATCCGATTAATTGTATACGCCAATTATAATTCAGATTGTTATAAGAATTTCGTGAACATGAATCGTGCGCAGAATTATGATTCACTATTGCTACACATGAATCGCTGCTGAATTGCGTAGAAAAATAAATATTGTCGTTAAAATGATATCACTAACACTAGATTTACCGCAACACCAACTGCAGACGTGATCAGCATCACCGTCGCGTCTAACTTAAAGTCTTTATGGACGATTCTTTCGATCGCGAGGTAGAATAAGATGCCGGTGACCACCCATATTAACAAAACGGAAGTCAATGCTCCGATGACCTGTAACATATAAAAAGTTTCTTAAGTTTAGCTGTTAACTTCTAAATCTAAATTAAATTACGTTCACCTGTCAATATCAACAAATCTTATCTTATGATAGTCTTGACTTATTTTATCTTAACATCCATATCGGGGAAAAACAAAAAGTACTCACCTCCGCTCGATACCAACCAAAAGGCATTTTTCTGGTGGCTGGTCTGCCCGCGACCCAGATAGAAAAAAGAGATATCATAAATGACGCAAAGTCAGTCAACAAATGTGCGGCATCAGTCGCTATCGCCAAACTATTTGATAATACTCCGCCTAAAAATTAAGTAAAAAAAAAAAAAAAAAAAAAAACAGTTAACTTGCTGCGATAATTGTCTGTTTTCGTAAATAACCTCTACAAAGTATTCTCTTTTATATATCGATAATGTCATCACGTATTTTGTTGTATTACCAGCGATTTCTGCTATCATGAAAATAACGCAGAGTACACTGGCGATTATTAACTTTCTTCGGGCTTTCTTGTCGATCTCCTCGTTCCTTTCCCTGTGACAATGATCTTCCGGGGATACTAAAATAATTACAAGAAAAGAATACAATATTAGCAGAGTTTATTTAAAAAAGAAAAAAAGATTATTTAAAAAGTCTGACTCGCCAAACAAGAATTAAAAAGTAATCTCTTCGATTAGTTAAAAACATCGATGAGAGAAGTGATCATTCTTCTTATAATTATTTATTATTATTTCTATTTTTGGATGTGATTTTTATTAAATTTTTAAATAGCCTTTTAATTTTATTTAATTATTTTAAATATGCATGGAGGGAAACACACTTATCGGATTTTGTTGATAATCCGCAATTGTATCGTCGGTAGAGCCTTTCACCACCGTACAGCAACCAGACAATTTTCCATGAACACAGAAGATGACCTTCCGTGGAGATATTTCACCTTCCTCATCTTCGTTATTATTCGGAGGAATGCTCGTCCCATATCCATAAATGGCCTTGTCCTTGAACCTGCAATCCATCATAAATCCATTCTTTCTTTTTTCACTGTCAATATCGTTAAAGCAGCCTAAAATAAAATGACATAAGACATCATTTTTACAGAAGAATATTTGAAACTCGCTGTAGATTTCTTGCTTGTGAACATTGTGAGGAAAATCCTACGCTTCCGATTACGAATTCTTATTTATATTAGATCTTTTCTCTCACTATAAATGACGCGTGGCGATCTCACTATAAATGGCGCACTCTTTCTTATAATGCGTAATAGAAGAAAGTGATTACGTATTAGCGAAATAACCGCGTGCAGCTTGTTGCCGATGAGTCATGAAAAATATAACATCTTCGTAGAGCCATTATTCTCTTTTAATTAGCTTCATCAATCGTGACAATTTTATTTAATTGATGAATCTCTCTCATGGCGTTCAGTTTTATTTCATTGAATAGATACAAATTTTGTCAAAACAAATTTTGGAATGAACAAATCGTAATATCAAGATTAGATCACGTTAATCCTTTTATCATTCCTACTTCTTGGCTTTCTTAGATAAGATTTAAGGAAATAAAGTTATTCTTGCTCTATGTGATAAGAGGAAGTTATAAATGACTAAAAAACTCGATATAAAGTTTACATAACTGCCGAAAGTAAAGTTCGAAACAGCTTTTAACAGCTTAATTTTTATTCAGAAGAATTTCAAGAAAATTCATGGAAAATCTATCAGCTTTATCAGTTGGACTTATTTGACAGAAAACCTTATTTAATATCTCTTACATTTTATCGAGTTAGATAGATTTATTTATAATTCAAGCATTTCTTAAAATTAGATAGTTTTAAAAGAAAATAACGTATGTAAGAAAAGAAACTGCAGAATAATGAAGAATTATTACATCGAGGACAGAAGAGAGTATTTTTACTCCATTCTAATTACGCAACTAATTCTATGATTAACCAGACGGAAACATTTAAATAAATAATTTGTATTGTTGACAATATTACACGTTTTAACAGAGATAATACATAATAGACACGGATACGTGACCAGTTTTTATCGCTTTTTACAGAGCGCTATTATCTATCAGCCAGATATCAATGATGCCTTGCGCAAATGCGCATTCGTTATACGCGTTCCTCGGCATTCCCCTATCACTGGCTGTGATTCAATGACGATGACAATGATGCCGTGTGCAAAATCACACGATCGATGAAGATGAAGGCTCGCGATAATCGCGCGCCTCACTGCGTTCGGAAGTGTGTGGAAAATTTGAATCCGCATTTAGAAGATGTTTCTTTGAAACATTTTCATATTGTACATTTATGCATGTAAATGTAACATGTATAATACAAGTATAATTATTAATATATAATTGTGCAAAATCACACGAGCGAAGAATATCGATAAAGGTGGAAGGGATCGCGTGCGTCATTACGCTCGGAAAATTTGTGCGGAAAATTTGAATTCGCATTTGGAAGATTTCCTCGAAACATTTTTATATCACATTACATTTATGCACATAAATGTAACGTGTGTAATACAAATTTAATTAATATATAACGATAACACAAATCGCTTCAAACTTAATGTAGAAATCCGCCTGCAAATTATAATGTTTGATCGCTCGCCGAGCTCACGGAGCTCATAATTTCCATCGCATCGCGAGTTACACCTATACCTATACCTATTTTTTTTATCGCATAGCCTTAATCTTCTCAGAGGCCCCATATTCACGAGGGTATCGGTGCGGAAAAGGAAGGCCGACCGTCAGATTCTGAGAACATATCCTTCAGCTAGACGAACGAAAGGCACCATGACCGAATATTCATGAAAATTCGCGATGGATCAAATGCTCGCTGATTTTATGGGTTTTTGCCGACGAAGGTGTTAAAGATGAAACGTGGAGAATATGAGAATAATGTGTATCTTGGGCAACAGACTTCCTTTCGTTTACGATATGTCGTGTTTGCTTATTGCTTATCTCTTCTCCTCCTACGCTTGCAAGTCAATGAGGAAATGATAAATGATTTTACAATTGTGTGGAAATTTATTATCGTTTACACGACGAATGGGAAACCATAGTTAGAAAGTTTCTCAGCTTCTTCGTTATTTTATTGCCGAGATGCTCCTTGCTTACGGCAATTATCTGCCTGTTAATTTATTTTGGATCGGTTGAATGACCGATCGAAATAATTAGCGGATTATCATCGAGCTCTTGAATAATCAGGTGCACCAACGGATTAATAACCGACGACTCGTCGAATCGATTCACCGTCATGTTATCCGACACCATGTCAGTGTTTCGTATTAATTATACTGTGATAATACGAGAATAACAGTCTCGCCTCGTCAAGAGAGAGAACCATTCGCATAGGCGTCGACAAAACGTTTCATAAAAAATGTATCGCTGATATGACAGGAATTCTGTGGTATTATCAGTCTCTTAATAAAAATAGTCTAGTCATGTTTTAATGTTTACTAGCAATTAGAAAATAGATAGCAAATTGGAAATTTTCAATAAAAATGTGATCAGCTGGATAATCAGTCAGGTGAAAAATTATTAAAAATTATTATCCGGGAGAAGAAAGAGTATTTCTCTCTCTCTTCTTTTTTTTTTTTTTTTAATATTTCGATTAATTATAATTTGGAATTATTTCGAAAAAAAATTCGAGCGTGACGCCTTCTGCGACGCCTATGATCGTTTTAGGCTCGCACGATCGCGCACGCGAGTGCACCTCCCCGCGATAAAACGTGATCGTTACACTGGCTGTAAAATTATCCACTTCGCAAATGCCACTACTTGGCACTTGTGACTTAACGCGAGATAACAAGCGTGCCTACATAACTCAATGGTGTTGGGTGGAGATGGATTAACCTACAGGAGTAAAAGGAGGTGAGTCCTACAGTCCGATATATAACGTGTAAATTGCGTTTCGATTAAACAATCGCGGACTGATGTTGATTCGTTGTTCTTAATCCTTGGAAAGAGTGGTGCGCTTATAATAACCGGGCAAAAAAGGGCAAATAAAAAATAAAAAACTTGTGGTATATGCGGTTTCGCAGGTACGATGCGCTAACGAGAGAGAGAAATCCGAGAAGTCGACCGCAAACGATCGTCAAACGATCGTGCTTTAAACGATCGTTGACGGTCGCTCTTTCCAGAACCGATCAACGTCCGATCTTACCCACGAGTCTTTAAAGAAGATAGAGATTCAAAGAAGTTCAGCGGGATTATCTGTATATACATTTATCTTACGTTGCCGTCTGGCATCTGTCGTGCAGTCAGCTTGATTAAGTCAACAATTTTTATATATTAATCCGCATCGTCTAACTTGAAGAAAGTATAGCTTCAATGTAGCTTCAAGAATTATTCAGATGCCAAATAACGAAACATGTAAAAGGCCGCATCTCTTAACCTGAAGAAAGTACAGCTTCGATGTAGCTTCAAGAACTATTTAGATGCCAAATAATGGAAAATGATAATTTCACTAACAATAATTCTTATCGCTGATCAACCGAATGTGCAGCTTCGATTTAGCTGGAATTATTTCATAAATTTCACGAGTATCAAACGATAAATCCATTCACGTTTTACACGGATTATTAATACGGGCAAAGAAAAAGAGACATCGGCAACGCGAAGTATTTCAAGGCTGCATTTTGAAGGTCCATGGACACCACCGCAATGTTTTCAGGTCACTCGAAACTAGTCCCGTTATTCCGACATTTCTGACACTTTGCTGGAAATACCTCGTGATGAACAAAAACAGAGCCGGGATCACGCAAGAGTGCACTCCTTATCCTCTTATCATTCTTGTCCGAGTAATTCCTCGTAACTGATGATTTACCATTTACGTGAATAATGCCAACGCAATTTCCAAGTTCAACGATGTTTATACGCAGGGAACGCCAAAAAATGGAGCAAAAAAACTGATATACGAAAAATTATCAGCAGAACGCAACGAGATAACGTTCTCGTCAGAATTCTTTTTTTATATGGAGAGATTTCACTTCATGGAATATAAAATAAAATGTACGGGCAAAGGAAATTTTCCAAAGTTAACGTATAAAAAATGATCATGTACGTTGGAAAAGATAAAAAATAGGAGAGAGAGAGAGAGAGAGAGAGAGAGAGAGAGAGAAACTATGATTATTCATCTCTCTTTTGTATGGAAGTGTTCTAATCAAAAGATTGCTAAACGCCCTCGTACTTTCATACTTGAAGAACGCTTGTATAATAGAGCGGTACGTTACAGTATAATTTAAACGTATTTTATGCAAGGTAGCAGCGTAATAACGTAGAGCCTGTGTAACGGAAAAGCGATTTAATCCTAGCCGAGCAATTTGGCGAACCTGCCAAGTTCGCGAACCTGATGAGGGCACGTGCTTTCCATACGCGAGCGCGAGAAATGATCGGCGCCCCTCAAATCCACTTCATCCATTAAAGTATCTCGGTGCACAAATCTATAGACTATCCTCTGGCTGACCCGAAACACGTTGACACGTTTCGAATTTATTCGATGTAATTAGTTAAGTGATCTAGGCGATAATTCTCGTACCCAAATTAAACGTGCTCGATTTGCTCTTTTAAACTCAATCTCCTCTCTCTCTCTCTCTCTCTC